TTTACAGGTGAGGAGGCTGAGGCATAAAGCAGTTATTATCAAGAACTATGAAAAGTTTGAGATCTTACCCTTTTTGCAAGCTTACAAGTTAGCCAGCCACACATTAATGGATGCTAGCAGAAGACAAAAGATTCCTAAGTCAGAGACAAATGTCCTCATTACTCATGGTATAACAGGTGGCATGAACTTCATAGTCCTTTGCTTCTTAAGTTCCATTGGGGTGATATAGAGTGGCCCTGGTGAACGCTGCATATAGTGGGTTTGTGTCACAGCTAACTCTAAGCTTAGGAAACACCCAATCTTATAAAAAGCTGTTAGCAAACCTGCCTAAAATTTGCCCCAGTAGGAGACAGTATCTTTATTATCTTGGTCAGGAAACAAATCTGTCTTCCACTCCAGAGAGAGACACTCTTTTTATCTTCCAGGGCTGTTTGCTATACTAACATCCTTGAAGAGAGAGTACAGGATAAAACTTGGTATAAGATGTACAGAAATGCCATGGAGAATTGTCTCTCAACAGTTACCTTATTTGTTCGGTGTTACATAGCTAGTAAGTTTCAGTAGAGATTTCAACAAGTTCGACTAACTCTAGATTTCATATTTTTAACCATTATTGAATAACTACCAGGTTATCCTTAGGTTAATGAAAGAAGTTGGTGTGATAAAAGTGTATGAGCAATAAAGTGAAGAATGAATGAAAATTTCTAGGGTTAAGTAGATAATAGTACTCGCTATGAGGCCAACCAGATGTTTGGGGAGTGGTCAGTGTAGACATTGAAGTTCTGAGGATAATGATTAGGGGAGAATGGAGAGGAAACCCATGAACCTGGAAGTGAAGTGTATGAGAAAGGAATGACCTTGAGGTTTGTAGCTAATGAACAGAAGAGCTAACCTTTACCAAATAAAGGGCAAACCCTTTTAAAAGTTGTCTCTGGTTTAATTCTGGAATCTTCAACTAAATCTCAACCTCTCCTCTTTGTTCATCACTGAAGGAAGCTACAACTATCATTCAAACAATAAATATGGATGATGCAACATCTATTGTGCATTATACTATAGAAAACCACCACAGGGGTAGCAAAGTAGTATTAGATTGTATCCCCACTGCCCCATCCCAAGTTCAATTGAGATCTTACCCTTTTTGCAAGCTTACAAGTTAGCCAGCCACACATTAATGGATGCTAGCAGAAGACAAAAGATTCCTAAGTCAGAGACAAATGTCCTCATTACTCATGGTATAACAGGTGGCATGAACTTCATAGTCCTTTGCTTCTTAAGTTCCATTGGGGTGATATAGAGTGGCCCTGGTGAACGCTGCATATAGTGGGTTTGTGTCACAGCTAACTCTAAGCTTAGGAAACACCCAATCTTATAAAAAGCTGTTAGCAAACCTGCCTAAAATTTGCCCCAGTAGGAGACAGTATCTTTATTATCTTGGTCAGGAAACAAATCTGTCTTCCACTCCAGAGAGAGACACTCTTTTTATCTTCCAGGGCTGTTTGCTATACTAACATCCTTGAAGAGAGAGTACAGGATAAAACTTGGTATAAGATGTACAGAAATGCCATGGAGAATTGTCTCTCAACAGTTACCTTATTTGTTCGGTGTTACATAGCTAGTAAGTTTCAGTAGAGATTTCAACAAGTTCGACTAACTCTAGATTTCATATTTTTAACCATTATTGAATAACTACCAGGTTATCCTTAGGTTAATGAAAGAAGTTGGTGTGATAAAAGTGTATGAGCAATAAAGTGAAGAATGAATGAAAATTTCTAGGGTTAAGTAGATAATAGTACTCGCTATGAGGCCAACCAGATGTTTGGGGAGTGGTCAGTGTAGACATTGAAGTTCTGAGGATAATGATTAGGGGAGAATGGAGAGGAAACCCATGAACCTGGAAGTGAAGTGTATGAGAAAGGAATGACCTTGAGGTTTGTAGCTAATGAACAGAAGAGCTAACCTTTACCAAATAAAGGGCAAACCCTTTTAAAAGTTGTCTCTGGTTTAATTCTGGAATCTTCAACTAAATCTCAACCTCTCCTCTTTGTTCATCACTGAAGGAAGCTACAACTATCATTCAAACAATAAATATGGATGATGCAACATCTATTGTGCATTATACTATAGAAAACCACCACAGGGGTAGCAAAGTAGTATTAGATTGTATCCCCACTGCCCCATCCCAAGTTCAATTAAAAAAAAAAATCTAGCTTGGAAAATATGGTATAAAAAATAAAAAGATAGATTTATGTAAGAAAGACTGGAGTAAATAATGTTTTTATTGTTATGAGATCAAAAAATAAAAAGATAGTGAAAGAGGAAGAGTTTGAATAGGATTGTTGGCAGCAAGTGATAGGATAGGGTAAAACAAGAGGAAGAAAATGGAATTGGCAATATTCTGTGCATCCTAAATATAGCATTTGTCTGAAGCAGTTGTTTAGGGGAGGAGTGATACTTTCTGCCTGTAAGAGAAATGATAGAACATGGAGCAAAGAGGGCTGTTTTCGCAAGATGTGTATTCCCTTTGAACTCTCTCTGTTCATTACCTTGACTGAACAAGAACAAATTCCAGCTGAGCCACGTTCTCCTTGTGAGTGCATCAGCAGCTTTTATCATCAGTGTGTCCATTGTCTGTGGTCTTGAGGATGAAGCTGGGCACGTGAAATCATTATTTTAAATTTTCAACAAGGATAAATATTTCAAATTCTTGAACTAATACTATTAATTATCTAACAATCATATAACACTTGCTCTGTTCCTAGCACTGTTCTAAGCACTTGATACTGGGCACTGAGATATTAACTTATTTAATCTACATGTCAACCCTATGAAGTAGATACTATTATCATTTCCTTTTGTAGAAGAGAAATGAAGTAATGTGGCCAGGGTCACATAGCTGGTATGCAGTAGAACCTGGAGTCAAACTCAAGAGTCCTGACTTAAGACACAAACTTCTGAACAATGCTTCCTCCTATTCATTTTTGAGGGAATGGCACCATCATCATCCAATTTTCCAAGTCGAAACTTTAGGAGTCACCTAGGTGCTTCATGATATATACTTCCATAAGCCATACCAGTTACCATATCACCCAAATCTACCTTTTAGGTATAGCTTGTGTTCCTATCTTAGTTCAAGCTCTGTCATTTGTTACCTGGATGACTCCCTCCAGTTCACTCAAACTCTAAAAACCAATGTCACCTTTAGCTTGAAATATTGAGCATCAGGCTGCAGCTACCTCTGCAGAAACTGATTCTGTTGGCAGGTGTGAGTTCTTTTTGTAGTCAACCCTCTTGCTCCTTTTGCCTGGGGGAAGTTGGAGGGGGTGGTGCTTTCCTAGTCTTGATAATCCATGATGATGTGATCTCTGCAAGACTTTACTAGAACCTGTCCAAGTTATGATATCAAGATTGGGCTTCTTAATTTTGGCTCTGGCTAAAGCACTGAATCTAAAAGGCAGAAATTAATCCAACTGTAAAGAATTATTTTGATTAGTATTTACAAAAGTATATAAAATTGTGTGTATTAGGATGGCATCTGTGAGAATGGACTTAACATTTATTTATTTATCCAACATTTATTTACTTCCTACAGTGCAACAGACAAAAGGCTAATTTCCTTTAGATGCATTTTACAATTTCACCAGTGAGATATGAGAGTGCCTATTTACCTCTCTCTTGCCAGCTTTGGGAAGTAGAAAACTTATTAATGTTTTTGCTGAATTTATGGAGGGTAATGGGGTCTTGTTTACATTTTTAGTTCTTTCATTGTGAGTGAGATTGAGGATA